TTTTTTTCAAATTTCAGAAACTTACGCCACTACATCGGTCAGTGTTACCGAGTTATTGAACATCAGCTGATTATTATTACTGCTGAGAGGTGCCACGGATATGGTACTTGCATTCAGTCCAGAACCTATGACGTCACTAGACCATGGTTGGAATTTGGAAATGATCTGAAATTTAAAGATTTAAATTATCTTGCATCTAGTTAGCCATTACTCTCCAACTTACTGTAGCAGAAGTATTAACAACTTGGATAACGTAGTAGTTCGAATTCGAGATGTTAACATAATTCTGAATATAAGTTATGCTCAGCAAGATAGAAGAATCTCAAAACGTTTTCTGCAAAAGAACTCACCATGAAATGGAAGCGAATTGTTGGCGGTGATGACTTATGTTCGGTAACATGAATGATGTTAATAGCAGGTCTATTACTGTGTAGGTCAACAGCGCGCGGTACAAGCATGAAAATGGCCCCAGACGCCAGCAATGTGCACATCTACGAAAAGGAGATACACAAGAAATCATATGACACTTAAAAAAGATTTATGCCCTTGCATGAAACTTTGGTGTGCTTTCTATAGAAGCTTGTAGCTGAAGAAAATCACTAACCGCGATCCCCACAAGTACCCAAAACCATGTTCGTTTCGGCTTTAAACGATCGTCATTCAATGGGATCAATGCAACTAGTGTTTCCTCCATCTCTGGAAAGAGTGAAGTTTAGTGGCTACAAAAATGCAAAGAAAAGGCATTCTTTCAGGCAGAAATTAACAACAACTATGAAAAAAGAGGGATTACCTTTGGGAATTCGGCCGGTACCTTTACATGATGGGCAGGGCACGCTACCGCCCATCAGTTCAGTGTAGTCAGTAGAAACTGTTCTGAAAAGATTTTTTTCTGTCGTAACAAAAAAGAAAACATTCCGAAATAGATTCCTTCCGCATTGATAACATGTAAAATGTTAGAACAAGAGATTAAAAAACAAAAAAGAAAATGCCGTGCTCCATCTGGTGATACCCACTCGAGCAAAGACA